ATGAACAATTATGAAGGTGAGATTTTGAATTTGCACTTGTAATTAATATATATATATATGTATATTTTTATAAATAATTAGGCACACACTCGTAATATTTGCTAAATCTACCCCTGTCGGCATCACCATGTTCATAGTTCTAGATAGAGTACAACTTTATATGTTGGAACTTGTTTTGCAGAAGAGAAAATTTGAAACCAGTGAAAAATGGGAAGAAAAATACTGGCAAACACCTGTACATGGATATGATATATATCTGTTAAAAGTAGTTTGATCAGAATGGTTTTTGAGGTGGTATAGAAAAAGGAATTAGGAGTTGTCATTTCTCCTATTTAATTATTTATTTTTCTAATGATCTAATCTGTAAATATTTGGCCTATTGCAGGCCAAGTGTCCATCAATTCCCAGATAATAAATTCACCTTGTCTCCTCCTCCAAAGTGGATCCCAGTTCGATGAAATGACGTTACATGGTCAATTCGATTTCAGACCTTTTGACCATTCGCGTAGATAAAAAAAGTAGGGTAATATCTATAAAGTATGGCCTCATAGTTTTTGTAGCACGAATTGAGGAAAGTAAAATTAAATCTGACTCTTGGACGTCTTTTCAAAAGTTCTGTATGAACTCTCACAGCAGAATCGAAATATATTAGTGTAGATAAAAATTACTCCGTCTAATTTTTATTATTATTTGTCATTCTGACTTAATTGATCATTAATTAAGTAAATATAATTTTAATTGTTTTATTCATATTTTTTTATTTTTAATCCTCCATCTAATATACAGTCTCTTCATATCCCATCTTCATCGTTTCTCATAACATCTATTAAATAAAGTTAATATTGACAAGAAAAAAAACTTAATTAACGTGTTACTTCTCAAAACAGTAAATAATAAAAATAGGAGGGAGTATTAGTTTAAGAATTAATTGTAACAAATGGATATAATGGTTTACATTGTGAGAGTTGCTACCATATATATCTGTTTTATTTGAGCTTTAGAATAAATTAGCTGGAGGTAAAAGTCCCCAATTTTTAATTCTGTTTAAATTAAGTAAATTCAAGAAAATATTTTTTAAGAAAAAGTTTAGTAGTAGTTAATTTCCGTTTAATAAAAAGTTTGCACACCCAATTTCCGGGTTGAAGCCTAGTGCGGACTCTAACTCGACTCGACTTGTTAAGTTAAAAAGTTAATAAATGAGTTTGAAGTTTATTAACGAGGTGACTTATGCTAAAGCTCAAAAAAATTGCATAATTATTCTTATTTATCAAGTCTAACAAGATGAACAGATTAAATTTAAATTTAATCTATGCGAAACTCAAAGTGGGAAGGTCAAATTAAATTTAAAAGACCAACCGTAATCAATGTAGTGTAGAAACCCATGCACCAGGCAAACTATAACCACCTAGTTAATGATGCCTTGATAACATGAACATGCACTAATAAAACATGGTCCATGCTATATGCGGCATAATTTATTACTCAGTTTCCGAATTGAGATTATTCTGTAATTTTGCTGTCACCAAACAAGGGTGAATAACAGCTCATTTTCAATTTCATGTACAAGTAGAGATGGTTATTGCGTTTGGAATTTGTACGGCGATTAAAGATATTGTGCATGGAGATTTCAAATCGATATCATTCGCTAGATTTTGTTTCAGTTTTTGTTCACATTGATTTGTAAGAGAATCTCCAATTGTTGAGTGTCTATTTTGAAATGAATGGTGTAGAGAAAAGGAATAATAATATTTTGTCTTTCGATAGTTAATGTGAGTTGTAGTATAATTGACACATGTAAGATAATAATTAGGTAGTAGAGAAAGAAATATAAATATTAGAAGATGTCTATAAGTCTTTCTGCATCTAAAGAGACTTCTACATTTTTTAAATGCCACATTAAATTTTTGGGACTAGGTGGCAAATGGAATAGAACAATCCATGTACTATTGGAAATGCTCTAATTCATCGAACCTCATAATGGACTTTGAACACTTCCTCTTTGTGCAACGTTTGGATCCCATCTCTTTATTCTACACATTTCCTTCTCTTGAGCCTCAATTATAGTAACTCATTGTCTCAAGTAGGACTGCAAACGAGCCGAGCCGAGTCGAGCATTAGCTTATCGAGCAGGATTGATTACTTTTTTTAAGCTGCTCGAGTTCGAGCTCGAGCTCGTCGAGCTCGATTTTTTGATGCTCGAGCTCGACTCGACAAACAAATATAATAGCTCGAGCTCGACTCGATTTCATAATACTCGAGTTCGGCTCGAGTTCGATTCAAAATTTTTCAAGTAAATTTGTAAAATTACCATTAAGTACATATATTAATATTAAGATACACATATATATAAGGTATTTTTACAATTTAACATAATCTCGAGCCACTCGCGAGCCGCTCGACAAGGTAAAATTTGAGCTCGAGCTCGACTCGAGTTCGTGCTCGAGCTCGACTCGAGTTCGGTCAAACTCGAGCTCGAGCCGAGCTTTGACTCGAGCGCTCGCGAGCGACTCGCAAGCTACTCGGTTCGTGTGCAGCCTAGTCTCAATTAACCACCGGCAATAGAGGCCTCTAATTTCCCTTGAGCTTTTTCCTCTAATTAATTTTTGGTTTGTTACCTGCAACGTTTTCTTCTACCGAACTTCACGTATAGTTCATGGGCAGTAGACTCTCTATTCAAACTAGTATGTGGCCCGTGCGATGCACGGGTAAATAATATTAAATAATAATTATAAATTGACGATATAGGCATATAATATGTATTCGTTTAGAATTTTGAGTGCCATTTTGAGATTTTTTAAGATTTGAGACTTTTAAGATGATCAAATTTTAGAGGAATACTATGAAATCTTAAGTGTGAATGTGAGATTTAGAGTGAAATTTTGTATAATGTTTTTTTCTTTTAAATCATAACTAATCTTAAAAAGACCTAACAAATCTTGATCTCAAATAAGTTAAATATTTAAGGATATTTTAAGATTTTTTTAATTTTTATATATCNCGTTCCCAGACTCATCCTCCTCCAATTCGCCGTACTCGCCGTCGCTAACGTCTCCGAAACCTCCGAGCCCCTTGAACGCCTCCTCGCTCAACACCGACGAGTTCGAGGTCGCGATGGCCGACGGCACGAAGGATACTGCAAGACCCGCGCCGGACTTGTGACGCGACGACGAGAAAGCTCTCAAACTGTTGCGGGCGGCGGAGAAATGGAGGTGCAGAGACGGCGGCGTGGGTTTCTTGGGGTCGAGGGTGGGGTTGGGTTGGTATATGGAGGAGACGCCGATAATGGATGAGGAGCAGGCCATGGTTGTTAGGAGAGAGGTGGGAAATTTAGGGGATAAGGGTTTAGTGTTTGTTTCTATGGTGGTTTCTACTTCCACACCTCTTCACTTTGGAAATGAGAAAGGGGGATATTATTTTAGAGGAGATATTTATAAGGAAGTGTAAAAATCTTTATCTTTTAAAAATCTAACGTTTACCTAAATTTTTTATTATGATTATAAAATCTATTTATATAATATGAAATTGGTGTAATTACATGAGTACTTAAAATGTTTATAGTTATACGAAAAATTAAATTTATTTATATTTTTATTATAAAATTATGTATAATGAATATACAATATAAAGTGATAATTATTTAAAATGGCATTTGTATTTTTACACTAAACTTATCGTAAATATTATTTTTTTCAATTATATTTTTAAAATTATATATGTATAAAACTCATATTATATACAACTACGGGGGCCAAAAACAAGGAAGGTAAGGGTTTTTATCAAGTTTTGATAGGTAAGAAAAGGCCATGCTTAACACATGAAGATTTAGCTCCTGTGGGATTAAGTTCCCCGGAATCGCTCTGGTTCAGTTCAGGCTGCTTTCACTCCTTCTCCCTACCTTTAGTTTAATTATGATATTCTTTTATATTTACTATTTTAAATAACATAATAACGTTCAATTTTTTATAATCTATTTAAATTGAAAAATAATATTTTATAATACTTCTTAAAATTTATTTTATTTAATACTTTTATTATTTTTTTTTTCCAAAATGTATGTAAAAAATTATAAAATGATTATTGTATGGTGTATTAATGAATAAGATTTTTATTATTTTTATAGAATAATGTATATTGCTATTTGATGTATTATAAAATTGAGTTGATAATAAAGTAATTTTATTTATAAATATAGATGAAATTAATATTCATTTTATATATGCAATATGGATGTCAAATCAATGATCGTTAAAATATGATTATTTTAGTAGACCATATGTAAAAAATAAAATACAAATAAAAAAGTTATAATGTTTTAAAAATAAAAAGCATACATATTTATAATGACTAATATATGAATTAAATAAAAAAATGTAAGAGTCATATATGGTAACTTAAAAAAAAAAATCTAAAATAATTTATGCTAATTCTCAAGCTTAATAGTCAAAACAAAATCTGAAAATGTGTCAATACGAAGCACCAATTTATGCCGAATAAGTTTACGAAGCACACAAATCTGTCATTTAAGCTCAGCGCATATATATGAACAATTCGTTTTAGTTGAACAGAAACCAAATAATTGGATAAATCTGGAACCAAAAATTATATAAATGATAAAGAAAATTTTTTATCGTCTTCCAGAAAGAAAAAGTTAAAGGGTTCGTCCTAGAGGTAATTTTTTCAACTTAAATTTTCACAACCTTTCCCTCTACTTGGTCTCAATTGAACAAAGACAAAGTAGCATAAATGAATACTTTAAATCCTGAAAAAATGGCTACATTTCCACTCACACTCCACCCCCACCCACCGCACCTGCATTTGGTCTCACCGCTTTGCCGCACGTCGAGGTAGTATAGCTATATGCGTGCATTTTTTATTACAAGAACTAAAGAAAATTGAGAAAAGGGGTGAGTGTTTTGGAGGAGGTGAATACGAAATAATATTAGAGATGTAGCGTTTAAATTTTATTGCTTAATAAGACGGAACAGCCCGCACAACCTGCAGCCACAACAGGTTCGGGCTGGGCTGATTTTAGAAGGCACTCTCAGCCCCGCCAAAAGATGGGTTTTGGCAGGCTACGGGCCGGCCGGCCCATTAAGCAATGGCTAAAAAGTAACTTGAAAAAGAAAATGATGAGGTTCTCAATCTTTGCTTTCTATAATCACACACGGTAAAATGTTTACGCGATTTAAAGTTTACAGTAATTGCACGAATCGGATTGTAAGTACAAACAAAAACTCAATCTATTGCATAAATGAAGAGTAAAAAAGCACAACATAGAGCGCGCGAAGTTTTTGACGACAAAATTTGAAGGCGTGGAGTTATCATCATTATTGACCACGAGCACGGCGATTTTCTGCATTCCTTATTGGGTAGAAATAAGGATGGGCCTGCAAGAATTACGTACATTATCGGAAGAAATGGAAATCTTATATGTAAGAAGGGAAAAAAAAAATATAACTGTAAGACAATTTATGCTGTGAATAGGAATTAATGTAGTGTTCATTATGTCTCGATGAATACCCAAATAATATTTTTTCTGCTGTTAGTTATTGATGGAGAACGTGAACAAAGTATGTAGATTATTATACCATTGCTTCCTTTGCAGTTGGCCTTTCTTGATGGTCATATCGCAACAATTTGTCGAGAAAATCAACGGCCTTTGGAAAAAGGAATGACGGAAAGGAGAAAGAAATAAGAAATAAAATTATTAGTTTCAATCTGCATCAGAAACTATCAAATCTTTTCGAGTTTTCAATTGATTACCTCAGGAACAGCTAAATGTTGATTATCAGCATTAATGAACTTTGTCCATGGCTTTCTACTATGCCTAAAATGACCCATTTCAGAAAATAAAAATGATTATAATAAAAAGAAAGGGGTGAAATAGGTAACGAGCCAATACTGCAGAAAAAGTAATAAGGCCGTGAAAAAACCTTCCAACAAGGGCAGAGAGATGTTGATCCAGTTCCAAGCGGTACTTGTTCAAATAAGCATTTAATTCATCTGTCCCCAGTATCTAACATCCATTAAATATTTAGGTGAATCACATTATGTCAGATATAAAGGTGTTTCCACCCAAGACAGCAGAAAAAAACAAACACGCATATAAGCACACACCGGCAACTATGACTGAAAAGATTATATGCATTTTACGAACATTGACTTTTCAGCAGAAAAAAGAAATGGACTGAAAGCAAGGAAGTTAACTTTCTTAAGAGTGTATTATTCCAGTCGTAACTTGAAAAAAGTCATCCAATAAAGCATCAGAAATGCAAGCTCAGACTGCATGATGCATATATTTAACAATACAAAAGCATTCAATTACAAGCATCAAGTAATTCTTTAATATGGCTTGTTCCAGCATATATATATATATACCTTTGCAATCTTGACTAGTTGATCGTAATTATCATGCCCATAGAAGAAAGGCTCCTTGCGAAATATCTGTACAGCACAAATCTCAATATGAGAATCACAATGCAAGCACACATGAGCATGTACAACCTAAAAATTTTAACTTGAACATTATCCATCATCTATTGTTGATATGCAAGCAAATGGTAATCTATTCATCTTTTGCTTCACGAAAATAATCCTCTACATTTAAACAAAAACTACCCAATCTTCTTGATTTCAAGAAGCATTGAGTGCCTTTGAGGTTCATCAAAGAGAAAGCCCGTAAAGTATTATTACCAGGTTCACTTGTAATAATCATATTTGGTAACTTTAACGTGTAGCAGAAGTGCATACCATTCCAGCAAACATACATCCCAGGCTCCACAAGTCCAAGGAGTAATCATAATCTTGCAAATCCACGAGAAGTTCAGGGCCCTTAAAATATCTGCTCAAGACAGGTCACCAAACTTAACAGCTAGAAGAAATAGGGCTGACCTAATATACAAATTACCATGATAATATCATGCCAAGATACATCACTAAGAGTATTGTAGAACCAGACCATTTAACTTAAACTTTAGAAACTGCGTGTAAGAAAAGAAAAACGTCTTCTGAAAGTAGCCAACAAATGTAGAGGTAACAGTGGATAGGTAAAGATAAGTATTTTCATCCATCATCATATTTGCAAACTTGTGGCAGGCTTAAAAATGGGGTTTTGCAACCTACAGAAGTTAAAACTAAATATGTGGAAATCAGAACTGGGTAAAATACAGATCAGAGTATTTGTTAACCATTAGCCTGGTGGTATCTCTTCCGAAAATATAGCAGATCTCGACTTACACATTGATACTTTATTACTTAACCACGTTGATTATCAACACAAACATAACCATTGCTTCTTCAAAAGGAGCCATATTCAACACATCCTAATTTGACTATCTTAAAGTATTATAGCCATAGAAGTACAGAAAAACATTAATCTCCACCCTAAGAAAGTCCTACAAGCAAATAACAAGGTGAACTCCAAAGTTCAAAGTAAAAAGTTGGTAGAACTAACATGACTAAGATGCATAAACTATAAAGAAGAAACTAAGATGACAAAATGCAGATGCGGCTAAGAGGAAAGATGGCAGACCTTGAAGCTACTCGAACATTATACTCTTTTCCAGGATGATAGAATTCCGCAAGCCCCCAATCTATCAGGCGAAGTTTACGCTGCTCGTGATCTATTGCGATATTGTGGGGCTTCACATCTCTATGCATGATACCTTGAGAATGGCAGTAGTCTAAGGCCTACATGTAAAAGTAAAGAAAGAACGTTTGATATTGAAGGTCAGAAAAATAACAACACGACGTCTCAGAAGAATAAGTAGAGACGACATAGAGACACAACTTTGGTTTGGGCAATTTGCGAGGGTAGGACTAGAAACTACTAAATTAATTAGTAGCCAATAAAACAAAATGCCTTTGAACTTATATCTACCGAATCCTCGAGAAAGAAGACAAATCAAGTCATTTATAAGCTAACTGAACTCCAGCCCTAATTAAGTGAGTGAGTCCAATATAATCATAGGTGATCAGAGACCAGGGTCTGGCGACACTATCAAAATTATGTTCAACGGTTAATATTTTCTAGAAAGAATAACAGACGTTTAAGAAATGCTAAGCACAGGCTACAGTTGAAATTAATTCCTCTATTAGAACTAATATCCTCCTGAATTCAGGTAGGATAGCTATTTTAAGTGGGTTCCCAGCACGCTATAATTTTTGACATCCTGAAACTGATCACCATTCACAAGAAACAGTGCATTTGATAGACTACAGATGCTGGAAAATTAATTACAGATAAAAACAAAATGCTTGCCTTGAGAAGTTCATAGATATAATATCTAATGTCAAAGTCCGAAAGTGTTGGATACAGCACTCTAAAGTCTGTATTATTCACATACTCAAATACAAGACTTGGAGTCTTTGATTGTTCATCCCTCACGATATCAAGCAACTTCACAATATTTGGCCCGCCACAAAGATTCTGCAAAATCTTAACCTCCCTCCTGATCTGCAGAAGTATGAAAGTATTCATAATAAGCCTTTCAATAATTTGAAGTCCTGACAAGTATGAAAAGCAAATTTATCGACAGCTCCTTATATAGTATTTTATTAAGTTACATCTCGAATGCTGAGTAT